AATGGAATGCCGAGCGCCTTTTCGTATGTTCTGAGAATTCCGCAAACCAATTTTTAAGAGGCACTTGTGCATCTGAAGAAATCGTTTGAGCACAGGGCAGCGTTGCTTCATGGGCCTGAAAATATCCTCCAGATTTTTTGCCAAAAGTGAAGCGTTTCGGAGATTGATAGCAATTGTGCCTCAATGGAGTTTGATTCCTTTTTGTACCTGCACCAGTTTTTTCATAAATATTTTTTGAAAAACACTTACGCACCTATAGAAAGCGTTTGGGCGCATAGAACGGTCGCTTCAAAGGCCTGCCAATGATATCCAGATTATTTCCAAATAGTGAAACTTGATAGTGTGTCCAGAAAAACCAGTTTCTTTTCAATGACGTATTAAACACGCTTCCGTATGTCCTAATTGGTTCAAAATCAATTTTTGAAAAATACCTACGCATCTAAAGAAGGCGTTTGGGTGCACGACAATCGCTGCTTCAAAGCCCTGCCAAAAATCTCCAAATTATTTTCAAACAGTGAAATTTTCTGGGGTGCTTAGAAATCCTTGCTTCTTTTCAATGGAGTGCTAACCGCGTTTCCATATGTCCTGGTTTGTGCAAAATCAATTTTTCAATAAACAAGGTGCTTGGGTGCAAGGCAAGCGCTCTTCGTTGGCCAGCCAATAATACCCAGACTCTTTGCGAATAGTGAAACTTTCTGGAATCTTTAAACGAACTTTTGCCTCTTCAATGCAGTTTTAACAGTTTTAAACTGCATTGAAGAGGCAAAACTGCTTTTATTTGTAAAGTCCAGTCGTTTGCTGGAAAAAATTGTTTCTTTTCTGAAGCGTCCTTCCAGAGGTTCGAGTTTTTTAAATTATTTTTTAGGAACACTTATGGTTCTAATAAACGCGTTGCCGCGTGCGACAAGCGTTCTTTCAAAAGCCTGCCAATATTCTCCAGATTTTCCCGAAAAGTAAAAAACATTTCTTCTGGATATTTAAAGCGAATTTTCATCTTTCCAGTCGAGTGGCAATCGCTCTTCTATGTACCTTCATCTTTTCAAAACTAATTTTTGAAGAACACTCTCGCACCGGAGGAAGACGCCGAAACGCGTGTTAAGGAATGCTTTAAGATATTACAAATGTTCTCCAGATTTTTTTCCAAAATTGAAACTCTCTGATCGTTAAACCTGGACTTTCCTCTATTTAATTCAGTCAGGTTCTCTTCCATCTGTCCCAGTTTTCGCATCATTAGTTTTTGAAGAACATCTATGCATCTGAAAACATCTTGAAGCGCGTGATAAGAATTGTTTCAAAAGGCTGCCAATATTCTCTAAATTCTGTGTGAAAAGTGCAACATCTTGGACATTTAAAGCGAGTTTTTCTCTTTTCAACAACGCGCCCTTCTATGTTGTCCAGGTTCCTCAACCACAAGTTTTGAGAAGTACTTG